GGAAAAGTTGCCCACGTCTCTCATATTTTTCTTCATATTGTTTCTTCTTCTTATTGTTTTTCCGCGTCAATTTCCTATTTGTATTTGTGACAATTTCTTTTCGCTTTGCGCCGTTTCCCTGGCTTTATTGCTTTTCTTTTACTTTCTATTACACTTGATTCCTTTTCAGTTTTTCCTTTTTTCTCTCGCTTTTTGTTTTCCCCATTTTCAATGAGCTTTTGTTTGACTTTCCGACTTGCCTTGACTTGTAGTTCTTTATTTTGTTTTTTTTGCGTTTTTGGAAACAAAAGGTAAAAGTTTCTGATGCTATTTGCTTGGAATCTTTTCGCCATATATTATTTTATTTTTTCTTCGCCGACTTGAGTTGCGACTTTGATTGGCATTAAAAGTGTTATATGAGCTACGCATAAGTTTTAATAGCCTTGCGGGTACGTTGTCGTCACATGAAGACGGCGGCTGTATAATTTCGGCTTTTCCCCTGCCAATTTTCCGTTTTCATTTGGCAGTCTCGTTCTTGTAATTGCTCACTATCCCCCATTTTCCGACTCCCGACTGCTGGTGTGTGTGACAAAGTTTCTGTTTGGTGCTTGGACTTTAGTGTCGGCAGTAAAATACTAAGTATCTGTCTGTGGGTGTGTGCAAGAGTGCACTGAAATAAAAAGTTTTAAATTGCATATTTTTTAATGGTAAACGGCTAAAAAAGATTGAAGCTTAGCCCAAATCAACCAAAGATTTGTATCAGACCTCATTACGTTATTAACCCACAAAAAATCCTTTACGTTCTACAAAAACAAATTAAAATTTGTTTGAATATGTCAAAATATTTATAAAAGGGAATAGGATTTCTTTTTGATTTAAGAATTAATTACAATTTTAAATCCCTTTTCGGAGTTTTTGTTACTTATTTTACAAGAAGTTTTAAGTTCTACAGGGAAATAAGTTTTCATGCATTTAAAAGCAGTTTTTCTGGTGATTTCTAGTCTGTTAGTTCAGTTTCTAGGTTACAAGTAAGTATAACGACCTTTCTCTCAATGCAGTAGTTGAATCTGGAATGGAAACGCTTGTTTTTACACTCCTTCCTTTATTGTTATTGTTTATTGTTATGCCATCGCCATCAACCATCAGTTGTAGCTCCATCACCATCAGTGGAATTGTCATTGTCCTTGGCGGTATTCAATCAAAGCTCAAATAGCCAGGATTAGTAGGAAAATTCCGGTCTTGTACTTTGTACGGTTTCATGTCCTTTTAATTGCTTCAGAATAGCTCATTTCATGGCGGAATTCAGTTAATGCAAGGTGCTCAAATCAAAAAGGAAATAAAATTGCACTAATTGATTAATTCGAGTGGTTGAAGCCGCAGGGGATTTTAAATATACAAGCATATATTTAGGTAATTTTTGCATATTTAAAGAAATTTAATCCAAAATTTCCCTGTGAGGATTTTAGGCTTTTCACAGTAGAAACCCAAATCCGAAATACAACTTTCCCTTTAGCCCCAGCATTTCACTCAATCAACAAATCCAACTGGACTCACTTTCTGCCAGGTAAAGTGAACCTGAAGTTTCATTTAATTTTTCCCATCCCATGCAGACCCATTAAACTAACCAAACAATATAACACTTAAAGGAGCAACAACTTCGGTTTAAGCCAACTATTTGCTTTCCATTGTTTTACTTTCTTTTTGTTCTTTCACATACTTTGAATACTCTTTGATTATTGTTTATTGTTAAGTATATGTAAGAATTATATAAGTAGATATCCTGTTAATATAAGTCTTAAGAAATTAATTTTGAAGAAATAGTCTTGGCAGCTGGCAGTCTTTAAATATATATTTTATTTTTTAAGTAATAAATATAACGTCCAAATAGGGTATTTTCCATGGGTCTTCCTTGTACTGTTTGGTTGAAACCACAATAGATCGAAAGTAACTGCAAATCTGACTTTGAATATTTCATGAGCTAAGTTTCAATTGCATTGTTTCCACAAAATTTTCCTCGCAATTTCGCATTTCGCATTTGTGCCCTTTTACTCAATGCGCATCTAGAAAGGCTTTTCGCTCCTTGTTTTCAGAGGGAAGAAAAAATATTGCTGCAAACTTCAAATGCAATTTGCTGCACTTTAAATTTGCTGCACCGACCTCTCTGCATTTCTGGGCAGGATCTTTGCCCAGTTCTTATTGTTTGTTTTGCCAGTGCAGACACGTACGACTAGGAGGAGCACTCCAATGAAGTTGAGACACACGACTGGCGAAAGTTTGCCACTTGTGCATTTTCCTTTTTTGCGCCCGCTTCTTTTTCAGATATTTTCCTTTTATTATATGATTGCCATAAGTTTTTGTCGCGCTTGCTTTGCTTGTTGACTGCAAACATATAAACACGTTTAATGGATGGAAATCTAACGATTGTGAGTGTCGCCTTTGTCTTTTCGGTATTTACTTTTTTTGTGGGGTGCATTCAAGTTCTTGACAGTTTAGTTTTTCATATTAAGAAATATATGTGATGAAAAGTCAAAAAAGCACCAAATGCAATATGGACACCTTACTTCTCGAACGAAATGGTAGCTTGAAATTCCCCTAAAATCGTTTTACTATTGATTTAACTGACATCAATGTGATCTGCCTGCTGGTGGCCTTCTTAGAGATACATTTCAACGTCCGTCACACCGGAAATCCATCAAGAAATCTTTCCTCCCCGCCCCCAAACGAGCTTCAAATCAAAATGCCCACAGAGATGCACTTGTACGTGCGGGTGGCAGCTGAAAATGCATTTCCCGCATGAAAATGCATTTCCCGTATATATGTGCGCTGATATCCTTCCATTAGAAGGAGCCTCTGAGAGGCCGGTCGCCTTCGTTAGCTTTGACCGCAACAGGCAACAAATCAACTTAATTGTGTGTAGAACCAAGTGACACTTCCTCGGCTTTGAAAGTTTTTGGCCCGAATTTGCATTGGGGGCCAAATGGGGGAAGAGCCGGATGGCTGTGCATATGTATTTGCCATCATTTAAGAGCAACTCAAATGGCAATATGCTTCTGTCGCTCCGCTTGAGAAAATAAACATCCGCTCCATGGGCATTTAATTAGTGTCACTTCTCCTTGGGGCTTCTTCCGATTGCTCTGGCTGGTGGGCTGTGGAGGGGGGAAGGGGAGTAGGGGAGCAGGGGGAAATATTGCCAGCAACAAGTACATTTAATTACACACACGAAAGTTTACGTCCCTTTTTACACGCTTCTCCCAACCAGCAGAAACTTCTCTAACTCAAGTCAACTTTTTATATTTCTTTGGCGCTGGCAAAAATTTTATTTGCCAATTTGCTGTGCTCTTGATTCTGCACTTCAATGCTCCCCCATCCCATCCATTCGCCCTCCTCCACACTTCAAATGTGGCACAACACTCGTGTGACCCAGGGCAAATTTAATTTGAATTAAGCATCAGCAGTGCGCACATTACGCATACGCCGCGTTGTACGCAGTTGTCTTGTAGCAGCTGTTGGCAGCTGTTATCCCGCTAGCTGACAACTTTCTGGCATTTTAGCCAAACACCGGCGAATAATAATAACAATATCATGCTTTGTCTGAGTAGCGCCTCCTGAAATTTTAATGACTGAATGTCGCATTAACAGCCGAAATGGATTTCCCCCACACGACAGTGCTGCGAAATGCAGCTGCTGCGAGCGAAGCGGAACCAAGCGTATCCAATACCTGGAGGCTAAGTATTTTTTTGGCCAAGTATCAGTAATTGTGATAGTACTTCCTTGAAAGGGTTTCCCAGAACAAATGTTTGGGAATTGAGTTAAATATTTCATTTAAATTTATAGAAATAGCAGTTTCTTCCCATTTTTTGATCATCAATCTGCCGTGCTGTTGTGCTCTTGCTGCCGCTGGCAGCTCCGCCGCGTGTCATGTGGCATCATCTCCACCTGGCGGATCTGCGCCACTGTTCACTACCTCAGTCCATCAGACAAAGCTTATTTCGCGCTCGACTGCTCGACTCGGCTCGGGCCAACCTGGCAAACTGGCTGAGTGACTGGCTGAGTGAATGACTGGCTGAGTGAATGACTGACTGAGTGAAGCAAGGGACTCTCCACTCTCCACGCCACCTGCCCACACCGAGCATACCTGCGCCTTTATTATTCTTTCACCTCCATCGCCTTCGCCTCGCACACATGTGTACGTATGGGCAATCAAGGTGGCGCTGCACGTAGCAAGGTAAATCTGGAACATAACTGCGGGTAATGACGGGGATCCGGATGGAAGCGAGGATTGGAGCGGAGGCGTCCTCCTGTAGCGTTTGATTTCAATTTGATTGGAATTGTTTGTTCGCTGATATTTTAAGCTGATTATATGCACAGCATGCCTTGTGCTCTGTGAGTTCGCTTGTTAACGGACTGCTAGCAGCACATCACTGCACATCTACGATACATTTAATTGTGCTCTTATATCCTATTAATAGGTGAACATCGCACTTGTATTAGGGATAAACAAAATACGCTGCTAATACCAAGTACATAATTCTGCAAATGGAAGCAAAGCTAGTGCTGTAGCAAGCAGCACTCGAGTGCCTTAGCAAGCAGTGCCACTGCTTTAGAGATTGTGCACAGAATCTGCATGCGCAATCAGCTTACCGTTCTTGAAGTGCTCGCTATCTCAAAAGGACGAAAAGACAAAAGTTTTCATCTCCAATGAAAGATTTCCAGGTAAGATTTTGACCATTAAGAGACGCGTGCAATTTGCTTACGGGCTGCCACCTAAATTGTATAGCTGAAAGCAAATTTAACTTTCGTTTGCTAGCGAAATCGTGATATTGTGTTTATGCGCAATCGTCTCGGAGCATATCTAGCCATTTTAGCGTGGTCAGTACTTAATAATAATAAAGCCATCAGGAACTGTTTCGTAAACTTTTTCCAACACAACTCCGAAGTATTTTGCTGCCAAGCGATTGGATAAATAGATTTATGATACAAATAGCTTTGGCCACACTGCGGAAAGAAAATGGCGCATGTCATACAACGTGCTCAAAACGAAAAAGTTAGAAAGTTTACATCCGCCTGACATTTGAGCTGCCTCGATTTTAGAAAACCCCAACCCCTTACTGCAGGTAATCGTCCGCACTTGTAAAAAGCGATTCGAGAACCCCAAAAACATCTGGCAATCATTGCAGCAAGATGAGTACAGTCACCAGCAGCGATCACCAGGTGGACACCGAGGTGCTGCTGATGCCCAGCACGAGCAGCAGCGCCAGCACCTGGAGCCAGCAGAGGAACTGGGCCAACGCCGCGGAGTTCGTGCCCAGCCACAAGCGTGTTACTAGTGAGGTGGAGGCGCCGGCTGGAGCAAGCTGCAGTGCATCCGCTCGGCATGCACCAGTTGTCTCCAGGGCGGAAGTAGTGAGAGGATCTTCATCTGTGGCCAATCACGTGGAGACGTCCTGGAGCAGGTCGTTCGCCAGATCCGTGGACAAGAAGTGCGGCATTTGCTTCGAGACGATCATGGAGAAGGAGGGCGGAGATAGGCGCTTCGGCATCCTGCCCAGCTGCAACCACATATTCTGCTTCGAGTGCATTTGCACGTGGCGCCAGGCTAAGCAGTTCGAGTACACAGTAAGGCGAGCCTGCCCAGAATGTCGCGTGTGGTCGGACTTTGTGTGTCCCAGTCCGTTTTGGGTGGAGGCCAAGGAGGAAAAGGACCAGCTGCTCCATGACTACCGCGCCGCTTTGGGTGCCAGGGACTGCAAATACTTCAGGAGAGGAGACGGCCGGTGCTCCTTTGGCAACAAGTGCTTTTATAAGCACGCCCTGCCCAACGGAGATCACGTCGATGTGGGATTGCCGATGCGTGCTCAATGGATACCGATTCAACTTGGATTTTTCGGATTTCTTACAATGAATGTTTGGAGCCTTCATCACCCGGATTTCTATTTTGGTGATTACAGGAATTCCGAATACTCCAATTACTCCGATTACTCTGATTACTCCGATGACTCTGATTATTCCGATGACTCGGATTATTCGGATGAAGACTAAGCTGCTGAAACAGGAGCAAATAGTAATTGATATTCAAACTATACATCATATATCTAATTCTAAATGACGCGAAGTATTTTATGTAGGTACCAAAGTTGGGTTACATAACAATTATTTAAATTTAAATTATTTAAATTTATACATATATTTAATCAAATTGTTTGACATACACCACTAAACAGCATTTTGGTAATAGGTTTCTTATATTTTGTGCAACTGAGTATCTGAGTACTTGCAGACTTTTAATATCAAAGAAATCAATGTATTAACCTGACACTAATTTTTTTTGAGACCATATACTTTCAAACAAGCCTAAAAATGTTTTGTTTTAAAATTATATAAACAAGGGAAACTAAAGTGAAAAATGTGTTTCTTTAAGGACAAATGCTGTTTTATATTTTGATCACCCTGCAATTCGAACACTTTCCGATCCAACTGTCCCAACATTTTGAGCCACACCTGAAAGGAACATTACTCACTTTTCCACTTGGCCATGAGCTCATTATCTAGCCAACCGCAGTACGTAAAAAGCATGGCGAGCTCCATTAGCAATCGTTATCTTCAGAGTTGGCCAGGCGAATTCCCATTAACAGCATTTCAGTGAAATGTCAACTGGATTTTTCTTGTGCCAGTTTTCCGCTTGGCTCGTCGCTGATGTGTTTCTTTTTCTGTAGCTGTATTTGTTTTTGTTTTTGCCCGTGAGTATCCTTTTTGGCTGAAAGGATTATCCGAGCTGCTGCTGAAGTCCCTCTGCCGCACACAAGTTGTGCAAATATATGTACATGCAATGACTTACAGCTGATTTAATATGATAATTGGAAAGTGAGTCGGGACATAAAGAAAGCCCGATGCCACGCCCCCAGCTTGGATGTCGTTTTAAATGCCCTGACTAACTGGCTGACTGACTGACTGGGTCCTGAATGAACCACTCGCATTCATGCAGGACGACTTGAAAGGCTTCGCAGCCAACACCAAACATCTCTTTTTTCAATTTTCAACTGCCTCAATTAGGCGGCTCCCCACAAACTCCCACAAACTCATATATAACCCAACCGACTCAACTTGGCCAACCAAAAGCAACCAACTCGAGTCTAGCCGAAAAGTGGAAAGGACAGAAAAAGTTTGCATAAAATGCTTGTTATAAAATTTAATGAAACCACACACGAGCGCGGAGCTCATTTTTTATTTTTTGTATACCTAACATTTCAGGGTATAAATGAGGTAGATTACGCTGGAAATCCAAGATGTTAGAATAATGTATCTTTGAGGTTTTATTGCTGCAAAATTCCAGCTGAACTCTATTTGCATTGTTATTAATATTTTGAAAAATGAATTTGATAACCAGAAAAAACCTTGAAAAAATTGAATCAAAAGAAAAACAAATTGTGTAATGTATACGAGCACATTACATATTTTTAAGTAAATGCAATTAAATTCAATTAAAAAGGAGCATTATTATATTTCAAACAAATGTGCATATATTAAAGATTTTTTTAAATGCTTGCATTTGTTTTACTTAATTGTAGGTGACTTAAAGGTCACCTAGGGTATTCGGGGAGCCTTCACTAGAGGGGAAAAATCCTTTCTTGTTGCTCTTTTCCGCTTACGTAGCCCACTTTCCGCCCCTCATTTTGGAAAAGCCAGCGCAACCGTCTTAATGCTTTATGAATTTGCTTATCACGTATTTTTCTGGCAGGCCATATACGCGGTCGCTTTTCGCCAAATTAAATGGGTCGTACGTGTTTGCATAAAAGAGCTGGAATTTCGTTGAGTGAGTGGGTTTCTTTTTCGTTTCCCACATAACGCTGAAGCCCTGCATCCCCACAAAATGGTGGTGCTTCATTAGCCAATCGGTCCATTCGGCCAACGGCAACCAGATGGAGCCGGAAAAAGTAAACCCCACTTGGCTTCATTCGTTTTAATATTCCTGGAGTGTTTTCTTGGTCGCCATGTAAAATGTATTCGCTGAAAACTCATTCCCCTCCTTCCTTCGAATGAAAAAGTACACGGAAAAGTTGAAGTTTGGAGCCAAAGTTTTCCATTTAACGCTTGCTTGACCAACAAATTCGCTTTTATCCCTGAATGTCGCCGCCATTTCGCTTTGATGATCCGGATGCGGGTGTGAACACAACCGAAAGAAGTCTCAGTCCGGTGCCCCCATTATGTTTTCGGTTTCCTCCAGATTAGGCGAAACTAGCTGGTTTATTTTACAGAAAGCTATTTTGCAGGAGGAATTCAACTAAATCGGCATGGAAATTGGCATTAAATGGGCGGAAAACAGTTTGTACTGCCTCAATATGTCAAATTTTCAATAAATGGTGTATGGTTAGACCAAAGACACTAGAATAATATTCCTATATTATAATATAGATTATATTATATTTATATTATTATATTTATATTTATTATATAGTTTATATAATATTTCTATATGAGATTAATTATTCTAGACCCACCTAGTGTTACAAAGAAATAAGAAATCCTTTCATATTTGTTGCTCCAACTTTGATTAGGTTTATTAGTATGCACCGAGATTCATTCCGATTATACAGTAGGAATATTTAGTGGCTTTTGATTGGCTCTCGGGAAACGGCAATCAATTACGAAATCCGTAAAAAGGGACGTCTTCTATTTGTCTTAACTTTTCCGGTGATTTCTTCTCGTGCTGCTCCGCGGGCACTGCCATCTTTTCTAATCAGTTTGATGCAACCCAAAGCTCTCGGGCTCATTAGTAAGTCAACCAGACCAGCAAAGCCAGCAAAGTGGCTTCTTTAGGTTGTCCCACAGCTTCCCGGGGGTGTTGGGTGGCATTTTGCAATGGCACGTGCCCGGGAAAACGAGTGAAAAATGCTCAAATAGTTGGCAGTCTTGCACTTGTCTTTATTGAGCGCCTTCGACTGTTTGTGGGCGTGTCAAGCTGTCAGCCAGTCACTTTTCCAGTTTGTCAGACGGTCAGTTGGGCAATCCGTCAGTGGTCAATGGTCAGTGGTCAGTGGTCAGTCGGTCCATCTGTCAGTGGCTTGTCCAATGGTTGGGGCTAATAATCTGATTGACTTGGGCCCGAACTGTTTCACATCCTAAGTCAACAGAAGCACACTGAGTAACCCATTTTGGCATTTTCGTTTATGAAACTGGAAGCCGTCCTTAAGTGATTTTCGGGTGGCACAAGCTGAAAATATTATGATATATACATAAATACATCTGCTAACTCGTTTTGCAGCTTTTACTTTTCCATTAGTGCAGATATTTTGTTGAATGCATCCCCAAGGTAACCTTTGACTCACATTTCCTGTGCTGCCCCCTCCTCCGCCCCCTGGCTGGGATTTTAAAATCCATTTGAAGATATTTGCTCGATTTCAGCTGTATGGGAGCACGGCAAAATGGAAGACACCAGTATACACGGAGAACCCAGAGCGTCGCATTATGAGACGACAAAAATTGAAAACTAAAGTGCACTTGTGCGTCCTCCTCGGGGATCGAGGGATGGAGAACTGGAGAACTGGAGAGCTGGAGGAGTATATATGTATGTAGATGGGGCCTGGGCTGTGCCCGATGCAGAGTGGTTCGGTTTCGGGATTGGTCTGCCGAAATCCAGCCAGAAAAGGCATGCTCGTTAGCATTTAGTTGACTTGGCCGGCACTTGGCTCCGTTTCTTTTGGTCCTGCGGTGTTTTGCTTTGCGCATTTCCCGCATTTTCAGTTCATTATATTTGCGGGCACACAAAGTATGGCACTCTTTTCAAATTGACTAAGTGTTCGGGGCGCCAGTATTCCACACGTGATGAAGATCTATTTTTAATGATCTATACTCGTACATAAATGAAAAAGAAAGCGAAGCAAATCTAAACAAATAAAGGAATTTGCATATAATGTGTCAATATTTTATCTACGATTTCGTAGATTTATCGATTTATCCAACTTCGATTAGTACTGTAGTAATCTTATTTATTTTGTATTTACTTGAAGGAGATACTACTTCTACAAGTTCTACTTCTACTTCCTCATTAGTGCAGTGTGCATAAGAAAAACACAATTTTCCTTTATTGTTATATATTATTCATTGAATTTAATTGGGGCTTTTAAAGACGGATTCCATTCAATAAGGCTTATTTATTTGTACAGCACCAGTCGAATACTTTTTCGTGCCTATTAAACAGAATCGATTATTTGTAATGGTTAATGCAATGTCATCACATTCCGTTTGTATTGAAATCATTCGGTTCGAGTGTGGTGACGTAAACAAAATCCTTATTGCTATATTTCCCTTTTCTACAGTTTGTATCTGATACTCGAGTGGCTCTTGTAGCACGCGCGCCATTTTTCAGGATAAATAACGAGGCAAATTTGGGTAAGCGATAGGTTGGTTGGTTGGTTGGGAAAACGAGGCGCTTTTCCGCCTTTTCTGCCTTTGGGCAGAAAGAATTGCGGAGGCGCGGCTCCGCTGGAAAATCCCCATCCAAAATCCATCTAAATAGGAGGCTGGTGGAAGGATTTCAGTCGAGGGCAATGGCAACCGAAAATGTTCACGTTTTGAGTACATGCCATATGCGGAATCGATGCACGCTGATTGATTGACAATAAGCGCAAAGTGCCGGGCAAGACAAATGTGATTTGATTTTTTGCGTTTTTTTTGGAAGCGCTGCAGTCTGACAAATATGATTAAATCGTGCGCTGATATACCCAAGGTGTGTGGCATTGATTTGCATTTTCGTCTGTCTGCGGCTGCTTTTCCAGCCAGCCAGCCAAGTTGATTAATTGGCAGTGACACAATGACTGCTACACTTACTTCCTTGCGGGCTTTTCCATTGTTTTTAGAATGCGAATCGATGATAAATGAAGTGAACGTGCCGAGACTGGCTGTCCGCAAAGCATGTAAGTTATGCAAAAGTTCTTGGCCGTTCCATGGGGAAAATGATGCGTGAGCAATTTTCCAAAAAGTTGAATTAAATGGAAAGTGCCATTTCTTGCGGTTTGCTTTTGTCCTTTCAATTAAATCGAATACTGCCAATCGAAGCGTGTTGAATAAATTTTTGATTACGTGAACTTCTTGAGCGCAACGCACTTCAGCAAAGTCATTACGCC